CGCCGAGTAAGGCGTGAGTATCATTCTTACTTGAAGGCGCGCCGATCTTGAACCGTGCGGATCATCTCAGGCCTCCTTTTAACTGAGGATTCTGATACATTTCACATGTTTGGTAGGAAGGCTGGAAATTCTTACGAATTCTCAACGTGTGTTTTTTTTCCAGTGAACAAATTTCCTTAAAATTCGTGATCAATCAAGGGAAATTAGGCAACGCTTGACGGATCATACGACGTTCGTACTCAACGCGGTAGAGATGCGCTGATTCTCGGCCCGATGTGGCAAGCCCCTTTCTAATTCGACCCCCATCCCCGCCAATTTAATCATCATACCGTCAATTTTCCCGCACCGAATTCATGCCCAAAGGAGTCCCGGCTAAGTGGTTCCGTTGGAATTCTCAAGTTGTTTCGGGTGAAATAATACGATCGCTGGTTTGGAAGCTAGTCCGGCGATTTATAATGGAAGCTGATTTAATTTTTGCTCCTGAGGTAACGCTGAAAAACGTCGTATTATTTGTAAAAGAAAGAAACTCGTTTTTTCTGCGCATTCTCATTGCATCAAGAAGACAACTTTTCATTCAATTATTTATTCCTTTTTCGCAGCTATTAAATACCCCTGAAGAGCTAGAGCCACGGTTAGTACACCAGTCCCTCAAACACCCACCCCAGAGACACCACGTGTTTCGACCAAGCGAACACGCACTGAGAAAAAAGAAACAGTACTTATTACCAATTAGGAATGTTGAAAGAAAATGAGGTGTTAGATACCCGGATATGATAAGTTTGGCACAACGGTAGTTCGGATGGTATCAGGCGAAGTTGAATTTTACCAGTCAGGAATAGTTCACAAACTTAATGTGCTGTCCACCCATCCTTGGTTCAACTGCCTTGTAAACTTTGTGAACTGTTATGGACAAGGATGAGACAGATGGGCATTACTAAGAGAACATATTTCAAAAGTTCTCGCAAATCATTAGTCTCTGGAACGCCACGAACAAATTGTCAAAAAAATAAGAAAAAAAATCAGTAAAACCCACTGTATGTCAATAACTGCCAGAGGAGAAAAAGTCCCTGAAAATTTCTGCCTTAAAATAAATGAAATATACCTTGTAAAACTAACAACTGCTGTAACTGTTGTTCGCGACTCACCGACGGTGGAAGTACTCAATGTGATGTTTTAACTTCCGTTTCGTTTTATTACGTTCTTCAATTTTGTAATCACCTGATGATGGCTGATGAAGCCGAAATGGCCATCGTATCATAAGTTTGAAGTTGGCAACCGAAATTTCACATCGGACGAAAAAGGAAAAGTGAGTACAGTGCTGTAAATGCCCCTTGATAAACGTTGCTCTTAAAATGACTAAGGGAAGATGCTCATAAACCTGAAAATACTTTAAAATTAACTGAAATCTTACGTTGTAACCTAGTTTCTACTTTCAAGTTTCACTGGGTAGATTTTCCTCTCATTATCGTATACTTGAGCTTTTGAATTTGCGTTGCTCAATTAGAGTTTCCAATGCTTGAACCTAGTTGTTCAGATGCCAGTTAATCTGCATTCAATTTCACGTTGTTCCTTTCAGTACGAATACGTCCAACCAACCCAACAGTTGCCAACCCCTCGGCACAAAGTGTTAAGGGGAGCACCGAAAAAGCCCGAAAGTTCGTATTTCAATTTCCACACTGGCCGATCCTGGGTTTCCCTTGAGAGGTACAAAGGGGGATACAAATAAAATACAATACCTACTCTCACACAGAGTGAACACCGAGAGGAAAAAAAGTAGAGTAGAATCAAAAATGGCATCGATAATACGTCGATGCGATTCTCAGTTCGAAACGACCCTCCAAAATTGACGCGAAAGGGGGCCGCGGGAGGGAGGGGGGCGGAAGCACAGCGGCCAGCCGGCGAGCCGCTCAGGAACCAATCCTAGCGGCGGGGCATTAATATGAGCACCACGTCGCAAACAAACTGACTGAAATAAAAATATATGGCTGCAAGTTGAAAAAAGTTTCGGGGGATGCTCGACTAGTCAGAGCTATATTGTGAGAGGTGGATCTAGGACCCCCCCCCTCCTCCTCCCGTACCCAACCGAGACTCCGCGCCGGAGATTCAAAAAAGTTTGTCCAAGTTCCTGCTTTATTATTAATACATCATCGTATGGGCTAAGTTTCACCGCTGATCTAAGTTTAATAAACATTACATGCCCGGTTATGTGTTTATATTCCGGGGGTAGTTTCTCCGGCGCGGCTCCGCGCACCTACGGGGGAGAGAAGCTTTAGCCGCCCCTCCGCTCGCTGCCGTGATTACCACCTTTCCACCCCCGCCCTCCCCGGCGGTCGTTTCTTCCCTGTTGCTTAATAACCTTTAGCACCATCCGCGCGCCGGGCGGAATAATTTGAAACTATGAGCTATGAGTGCCATCGCACGACTATATGATTAATCTGGCCGTGTCTACCTACCGTTTTCATTTTACAACTTTTTCCGCCGGCGCGCGGCGTTTTCCTGCGTTTAATTGGGAGTTATGGGCGCCTCGTATCTTGTTCCGTAATAGTCCAGTGTCATTTCTCACACGGAATATTTAGTCCCGTTGATGGTTGTGTGTCGTTGTTCTGCGGAGTCTATATTCGAGGCACGGGAGGATTTGTACCTTTGTAAATGTAACAAAAAATAGAGAATGTGCAAGCTGATTGTTGAAATTGAGAGACAAAGAAGACATAGGTAATATGAAGCGATCGTATTGGTTGAAATGGGTGGTTCTTATAGCCTAAGAGGTATGATGGACTATCTACACGCACTAGAAAAAAAAAATATTGTACCTAGAAACCAGACTCTTACGAACATCGACAAGAAAAAATACTCTTGATTCGATCGGATTTTTGCTTAAATCAAGAAGCAAGCCTCTTAATATGAGCGGATTTCCTTTTGATCTAAGCAAAAATCTAATTGAATCAAGAGTCCTTTTTCTTGTCAATGTTTTCAAAAGTCTGGACTCTAGATCAAATGTGTTATTTTTCCAGTGAGATCTTTCGTGGGTTGCCATCAGTTAGTCTAATACCTACCTTCTTTGTCCATCACAACCACCGCTATCACCATTAGGATCCCTCCAGATCCCTTTTGACTCCTTTTTCTATCACTTTGTCCACAAATTCCAACAATCAGCCTGCTAAGGGGTCCGTAGTTGCTTATGACTTTCATTTTCGTTCCGTTAAAGGTATTCATGAATGTTTCTTTCCAAGTAAACCAAAAAACCGACCAAGCGCAAGTGCTTTTCAGGGTTATCTTACCATTTCGAAATCCCTGTGACCTTATGAATTCCCTCGAAATTCTCAAGGCATACATAATTTATAGAGTAATCCCTAAAATACGTGGGCACAATAATTCGGGTTTCTAGGCGTTCTTTGCCGAGCAAAATTTTCCAAAATAAAATGATTTCAATGTCGTCATAATTCTGTTCATTAGTCCCCGTTGATCATGCTCCCCCAGGGTGGAACTATGCCCGGAAGAGCGGTTAGGGGGCAATCGTCCCTAAATTTTAGTCGAAGAAATATTTGAGGGTCTCATTCTGCATTTTGCCAGATATCGCGCAGGGCCTCTCGACGACTTTTCGGACATCCCCTTTCATCAGAAGAGGTACCCTAATAATATCGATAGAGGGAGGTCCGTTATCGGAAAATTTGAAGTCAATGCGCCCTTCTGCACATACAGTCATATGTCTTATTTCAAGTGATAATCCTCAAAATAAGAATTTGAGATGTTTTGTACAAAAAATACCTCAAAAATTGAGCAACTTATATGCACCTTACTCCACCAACTACAGGGCAAAATCACGCAATAAAAAATAGATCTGGAGTGAGAGCATTTCCGCTCCTTGGGAATTCTTAGCCAAAACCTTTCGGAAAACTTCGACAGAAAAACACACACGCTTTGAGGAACCTTTGCAACATTCCCAATAACTCATAGAAACTTCCCAGTTTCCATTTCCAACATTTGACATTCCCGGGAAGCTTACACCGAGAAAAAAGATTGGTAGAATTTACCGTGTTCCATTTTCAAGTTCCACAAGATCAATTGTAGTTCAAGATATAAGCCTAGATAGCGAATCGAATATCTACCAAGATGTCATTGAGACTACTAAAAAGTGAGTTTGAAAACGTACATAAGCAAATAACTCCTGTTACTCAAAGATATTAAGACTGTGAGGTAATTACATCAGAGGCTCCCAAGTTCTTTCGGAAAACTTACTATCAAATTATACCGGAGGATGGCCAATTGAAAAAAGAATTTTTTGAGGGATTAGTCTACCTCCTCAAATGTAGTGAGCCTGTACCATTCATAACACTCTCTATTGCTGCAGCACAACTAGAACCTAAAGATTCCCAATTCTGGACTAGGCTGCAAGCTGTTTTATTGGCTGTCATTATTATTAGCTGTCAAATGTGAGAATATCCATTATCAAAGAGTCAGGCTTCGCCGTTGGTGTCGGCTGGAGCATCTTCACTTTGAATCGATTATCGTACCCCAATAATCGATTCTTCACCATAGCCTCAAACGTAAGAATATCGATAATCGAAGAGTCAGGCTTCGCCGTTGGTATCGGCTGAGGCATCTTCACTTTGAATCGATTATCGTACCTCAATAATCGATTCACCATAGCCTCAAATGTGAGAATATCGATAATCGAAGAGTCAGGCCTCGCCGCTGGTGTCGGCAGAAGCGTCTTCACTTTGAATAACAAAGATGCTTGGTAGCTGGAAGACTCCCTTTAAAAGCTTTTCCGGGGAAAGCGGCCTGAAAGAGAGAAGCAGAGAGAGGAAGCTCAGTGGCGTGGCGCGCTTTTCGATATATCGATTGATACGCCACTCAAACCTGTGAAAAAAGATCGATTATCAGGGTGTTCGCAGCGAAGACCTTAGTAATCGATTCTCTACCACAGCTTAAAACGGCGAGATATCGATAATCGATCATTCGCGCCGCGCCACCGAGGAAGCTGCGAAGGGAGGACTCACCTTGTTGCCGTTAATGTACCAGTCGATTATCGGCGGCGGGTTGGAGGGGAGGGCCGTGCAGTTTCCGGTCACGTACTCGTCAGACTTGTAGGGGGAGGCGAGGCCCTCGATCCGGGGATCTCCCGTTGGGTACACTGAAATCAAAGCCAAAGCCCCGGGTCTTAGTCAAAGGCTCACGCACCCACGTCCCGGACAAAATACATATGACATTCACAAAATAACCTCCCCGTCGGCGTCGCGTCGGGCTGGAGCGCTGCAATTTTCACGACGATTTCACCGGTAAAAAACGAGCTACAGCCCGCGCCAACACGTCATTTGGACGTATTGCTGCCAAACGGAACTACAGGGTTATTCAAAAGTCACGCATCACTGGCCACGAGGGGGGTGGCCATTTGAAATTTTTGAGTTGCCCCCCGCCCCATCGTGGGGATCAAAAACTGGAAAGTACCTAAAAAAATGTCCCCCTCGATATGAGGGAAAACGTCTTAAACCGCAAGTCAATATCACAGTTAGAACTAAAGTTATGGCCAGTGGTGCGTGACTTTTGAATAACCCTGTATGTGCATTATGACGTGAGCCCTGCACTGAAAAAAAAATCTTGGTGTATTTACTAAGAAAAGGGTAAAATTACCAAGAATCCAGGGTTCTATTTGATCCCGGTTTTTTCTTGGTAAAATTACTATTCATGGAATTGGTAATTTTAACGGGAAATCTCGCTGAAATTATTGAACTTTTTCGGTAATTTTACTGGACCTTGGTAAAAACGCCGATTTTTTTTATCGACTGTGGTAGAATTACCGAGATAAAATGGCAAAGTTACCGGGAATTGATTACCAATAAAAGTGGTATTCTTACCTGAAAAAAAAAAAAACAGTAAAAATACCGGTTTTTAGGTAAGCTTACTAGTCTGTCTTTGTAAAATTACGAATAATTGGTAAAAAAAAGTGAGATGGTAAAGGTACCAACGGACCTTGGTAAAAACGCCGAGAATTTTTTTTCAGTGTGTTACGCGTGTATTTTTATGGGTATCAGGGCTCATGCCTTACGCACATAGTTCCCTTTTGCAGAAATACGTCCATTTCAGCGAGGTGTACCTTCAGCTCGGGAAGCGCGATCAACAGGGTGATCCAAAAGTCCCGCACCGTCCGATGGTTTTGCCCCATTGCCGGGAGATCCATGTAGAGAGTTGAGGGGATCCAATGGACCAGTAGACAAGGTTTGAAGCAGAGGAAAACGTCAAATTTTTTCTTTTCAAAATTTTACATAGAGAACAATTCACACGACGGGAAGTTTTGAAAACAACTCCTGAACGAGATGTTGACGAGTGTTTAAAACACAGATCAAATGGAAGTTCGATAACACAGATGGTGTCATTTGTATTTTTGCAATTTAATCAATGTTGTTACAAAACACGTATATCTTCATCACGAGTTGATTTTCAGACTTCCGATCGTAAAATTTGCTTTCCTTCTGGAATTTTGATGAGAAAACACGCAGCGTTGTGCTTTAATTCATACCTTGTCTAGAGGCCCAAAGTCGTTTACTCTGACAAGGAGGCATTATAAAAATTTCTATTCTCTACATAAAATTCAAAAGTTACACGGGCGATGTCAGGTGTTGATAGTGCGAGACTTTTACATCATCGTGCATGGCAGAGAATTCGTATACTTCGACTGCAATTTGCAATAAGGAATGTTCGCAGATAGAATTGCAAAAACTACTCGCACAAGAATACAAGAAACTATTTCAAACATTACTCGTACATGAGTATTAAAAATTTGATGAAGAAAAAAAAAAGAATACAAAGAAAAGGCAAATGCACTCAAGAAAGAGTGTGAAATCAACATGCGGAAGTTTATGTAAGTTTTTCCAATTTTTTTTGTGCAATAATTATTTACGGACCTTTCCTCATTAAATTATCACCTTTTATTTAGTATTGATCAATCTTTGCTTGACCACACTTTTAGCCACTGTAAATATTTCTTAGTGTTCCATATTTAATGTTCCCACGTCCCCAGCCCCCCCCCCTTAGTGATGCCAGCGCGAAAAGCTCAAGTGGAGCCTCCCTGAATGACGTTTTGTACCCCGGGCCAAAGTTACAGACCAACATCTGGACGGTGTTAACAAATTTCCGATTGCATGCGGTAGGGATTTCATGTGATATCCGTCAAATGTATTTTGAGAGTTTCATCCTGATGATCAGTGTTACCAATTGGCTCTGCGGCGAACGGAAAAGAACAAACCTGTGGAAATTTTGGTAATGTACTGTGTGTGTCTCCGGTTTTTTTCCCCGTTATTATGGATCGCTGCAACCAGCCTCATCAGAACCCCTCTTCCAGTTACCCCCCCCCCCCCTGGGCTTTCCCCCTGGCCCTTCGTGTCATAATTCACCCTAATCTATCACTATATTTTTCAAACTTCCCGCTCTTTGTGTTCCGTTCATGTAAGACCTCAGAGAGGCATTCGGTGTCCGCGCCATGTTTTGTCTGCGCCTACGGGGCGTATCTCGATCTCTTCCGTGTACTATCCACCATCCCACCTACCTATACCCCGTTGATTCTCCGTTTATCTGTTGACAGTCCATTGGCTAGTATGGCGGTTAGGAGGGCAGACATTTGCAGGCGTTTTGTCGGCTTGGCGCGGCCATCGTTCTGGTCGAGAGAAACGAAGAAACAAGTTGCTATCGTTGGTGAGAACATCGATCTTCTTGTTCTAATGATAGTTTTGACACCTGTATCAAGTGACGTTTTAGTACTCGAACCAGATAAAGGCCAAAATGCAGCCCAAATTTTTAGCTCAAATCAATTGCAAACATAGGGTGCAAATTTGAAGAACAGCATTCTTTTCATTCATGCCGTCAATGGGTGTGATACCACTTCAGCATTTCGTGGCAAGGACTTTGAAAGGCACATTCACTTAACTGTTAGAAAAACGAGGGCGAATTCTCTCGTATGCTGAGAAATTTGATGAAACCGACTGCACTCAAGGTGAACTTTGTCAAGCTGGTGAGCAATTTGTTGTTTTGCTGTACGACGCTAACGAATCAATTACAGGTTAGAACAAATGTAGACTTTAGTGTTTTAATCAATTAACCACTGCCCCGTCTGATTTCAATCAATCGGACTATTTATGCTACACAGTGACAAAAAAAATACAGTTAATACGATTACCACGGTAGTATAGCACGGCGATGTTACCGTGTTCACCGTAATATTACTGTGCGCACAAAAATGCTACCACGAGCATGGTTACGCTGCTATGCTGACAAAATCCACGGTTCTACCTATGAGGAATCCTGTGTGACATTCCTACTGTGGTAACCGTGGAATAACACTGTTTTTTTTTCCTGTTGTAAAAGAATGATTTATTACTCAATTTTGATCGGAGGCCACGTGAATGATGTCAAAATCGTGCATTAGAAGTGATGAAAAGACACTTCGTGAAACAAAACAAAAATCCACGGCTCTACCTATGAGGAATCCCGTGTGACATTCCTACTGTGGTAACCGTGGAATAACACTGTTTTTTTTTCCGTGTATAAGAATGATTTACCACTCAATTTTGATCGAAGGCCACGTGAATGATGTCAAAATCGTGCGCATTAGAAGTGATGAAAAGACACTTCGTGAAGCAAAACAAAAAGAAACTTCCACGAGGAGGTACCTTTTCCGCAAGGTCTACGGTGAGGCGGAAAGGTAAAAGTTGTTTAAACCGACCCAAAGGCCGGAGCAAACCGTACGAGAAAAAGGGGCGACAGGTTTAAAGAGGCTGATTCGAGGATGACCCATTTCTTCGCGGATCCTCGGAGCCTCTCCGGCGAGGGCGAGGCTGAAGAGGTCCCGGGCGGTCGAGAGAGTGTTTCAAAGGTAAATAAAGGTGTCGGAGCGGGGCGCTTAGCGCCCTAATTTGATACAGTCAAATTTGCGGCCCGAAATGACTTTTATTGAAAAAGATAGCGGTTGGTCTGGAAACTCGATCTCGCTGGGTTCGAGGGCGCGGCGGGGCGGGGGCGCNGGGGGGGGGGCGAATTGCATCAAGTGTGACGGAAGTAATAACTGAATAAAAGGGGCGATCCGATTCGCGGTTCGTTCGCGCGCTCCGTGTCGCAGGCACCGCGGCGCGCGGTCGACCCGCGACGCGCGAATCGGTGAAACTTTCCCAACTTTTACAAGTGCTTCCGCCCTGTCCGTGTCGGGCTCCCGAGCTTTAGACGTTCCGATTCCGATCCGCATCCGGGCCCACCGCGTTGCCGCTCCGTGCATGATAATTCGGCAAAAATGAAGCGAATTTTCGCGATCGAATGTCATTCATCAAACGAATTGATCAGTGCTGAGTGATGCCGATGATCGGTGATGTCAGGAGCCAATCAGAGCTCAGATTTTATTCCTAAATGAAATTAAGAAGAAAATAAGAAAACACGAAACACTAAAACACAGAAATTGCGAAAACACCAGATTTGAATTGACAAAACACAGCAACAGAAAGAGATGACACAACAACAATTTTGGTGAGAGATGAAGTTACTGACATTGACTGCATCAATTCAAAAATCGAATTCAAGTCCCGAGGTGGATTCGAAATTTCAAATTGATGGATTTCAACGGTCTCTGGTGAGACCAACGAAGAAGTTGAATATCATTGGAAAAAAAATGCACAATCGTCGAATATCATACGGTGAATGATATTCGATCGCGAAAATTCACTTTTGGGTTTTTGACAGCTGATAAACGCAAAACTGCCGTGATAGCGAGGAGAGCCGTAAGTGCAAAAATGAAGTTTTGAGAAAACGGGCTCAGAAGCTTCTGACAAGAACATTTTATTGAAAGACGCCTCCGTTCTTTGTCAAATTGCCACTAATCGTCCGGAGGACTCCTAGAAATCGTATGGATGATTAAAAATCGACTGATTTCATTACCATAACATAAAAAGGGTATTTTTCATTTTCATGCTAGGTTATTGTTAGGCAAGACAGCCGTAAGTGCTATCTTCTGCATGTTTTCGTGGTTGCGTTTTGGACACACAACAAACACATTTTCAGGTTAGAAATTAGCAGAAGAGGGCGGCACTTTACTCGAAAGCACTGTTCTCATTGGCTCTCATGCATCTACGGCTGTCTTGAAAACAAACTGTGTCA